TGATAGGGTTGTCAGGCATTGGCACAGGCTGCCCAGGGAAGTGGTGGAGTCACCATCTCTGGAGGTGTTCAAAAAATGCATGGATGTGGCACTTCAGGACATGGCGTAGTGGACATGGTGGTGTTGGGTTGACGGTTAGGCTCAATGGTCTTAAAGGTCTTTTCCAACCTAAACGATTCTGTGCTTCTATGATAAGACAAACCCAGAAAATCCTATTGGGACAGCTCTCCACTCCCATCAAGGAGCTTCTGAAGTTGGGAACAAGAAAGATGAGAACAAGCTCAGGGGCCCTTTTCCAAGTTCATCTTGATTCTGCCTTCAGAAAATGCTCTTTGAAGCCACTTGTAGAGTTTCCCTACAACGCACCCAAACTCAATTGAACATGTTTTCACACCTCTGTACAGTTGCAGCCTGTCCCAACACCGTTTGTGCTGCTGTATGTCCAAGGCAATCCCAGCAAGAAAGCCTGCCCGCCCAACCCCCTCTTCTGGGCCAAAAGAAGATCTCTCATGTTTTACTGCTCTCCCCTAGGGAAGATGATACTTCTGTACTCAAAGGATCAAAACACCCTCCTTGCCTGATGAGTTGGAATTGTGCACATCGCAACAGTTAGATGTGAGCAACTCCCTGCTTTGCCGGGCAGCAATCGTGCAGCCTGTGCAGGCAAACAAAGGCTGTCGGGACAGACATAGTGACAGAGCCCACACATCTCACACAGAGACATCCAGGATCCAGAGGAGAAAGAGCCCCACGCTTGCACCACGTTGTAACACAGTACTCACAATTTCCTTGCTTTCCTGACTGAGGAGGTGGGCTACGTGCTTTTCAGCGAGCATGGGATTTGTCTGCCCAACTGTGCCATTGCATAACAGCACAGAATAAGGAGTTCAGGGTCTTGCCTAACAGCCAGTGAGACAAGAACTTAGCTGGGGGCCCTGGACCTAACCCCACATGCCAAGCATTTCAGAAAAGGCTGAAACAGAGCTGAAACATACCGTTGCCTGACTGAGGGAGCCTTAGTTTCTTTTGTTTCTTTAGTTTGGGAGGGGGAGACAACCTTTCTTCTGACTTAGAATTTGTGGGAAATCGGTGATGCCAATGGCAAATGCAGATTTACTCTGGGGGAACGTTGCCACGTGTTGTAGCCCAGATCCCTTCCCGTTGCGAGGCACGAAGCCTCTGGCTGTGCTTGACTCCATGCTAGTTGAAGGAAAGACTATCGAACTGTTCCGCAGAAAGCGTCCCTGGGTTGTCTGGTGCCACATCCTCCATGGTGACAGGGCCACGGGAGAATTCTTGTTCATCGCCCGTGCCCCTGCCCATGCCGCTGTGCTGCGGTGGCAGGCTGGGGAGGATGGGCTTCAGGAACTTGAACTCACTGTTGCCCGAGCCCGTCGTGAGGCTGATCTCGTAGCAATAGGCGTGGGGCAGGGTCCCCGCAGCGGCCGCGTCAGCCAGGCCACTCTGCAAGTTGCCAGTGCCGTAAAGCACGTGCCCCCCCTTCAGCTCCTTGCCCTTGCACACCTGGCGCGCGATGAAGGCTGCCATGGATGCGAGGAAGAGGACTGAGACAAAGACCAATGAAATGATTAAATAGGTTGTCAGGGAGCCACCCTCATCCTCCGTGGCCAGGCTGCTGTGTGGTAGGTGCACGTCTGAGAAGTCATTGAGCAGGAGCGCGCTCAGTGCAGCGGTGGCTGACAGCGGTGGCTGCCCGTTGTCTCGCACCAGGACGACGAGCTTCTGCTTCACAGCATCCCTCTCTGTCACCGGCCTCCTCAGCCGCACCTCCCCACTTTGGGCACCCACTGCAAACAGCCCAGGGTCAGTGGCCCTCAGCAGGTGGTACGAGAGCCACGAGTTCTGCCCCGAGTCGGCATCAACAGCCACCACTTTGGTGACGAGGTACCCCGCTTCAGATGACTTGGGCACCAGCTCGCTGGACGCGGGGCTGCTGTCCTGCGAGGGGTACAGCACCAGTGGCGCATTGTCGTTCTCGTCC